CGCCCGGCCGTCGGTAGAGCAGGTACTTACAATGCCAGAAAGGGACTTGCAACGATATCCCGATCTGTGGACCGCCTACATTCGCAGATGGGAAAAATGTATGGCAGGAATTCCTACTCCTCCCCTTGCAATCTTCCAACCGACAGTCCGGCCCTCATTTGTTCCCCCTCAACGTCAACCACAACCGTATAACCATCCAAAACGGACTACCAGCGTACCGGCGACAAGCACGAAAGTCATGCCATCGACATCTACCGCCACTGCAAGTGCCAAGTCTGGTCCCGGCTCTACCACTTCGTCAGCTCAGTCTTATGTTGGAATGACGTATAAGGAGAAAAAAAAGACAACGCATGGTGAATTACAGGAGGCAGAAGAAGCAGGAATTGCAACGACTCACCAGGGAAATCACGTTGCAGTCCTCCTATGGCTCACAACAGCACCGTTTGGCTAAGACGACGGAGATCCAAGTAGCGACACCACCAACCCTCATGCCAAGGACCGTTCCACCTATAGAAGTAGCCACCGAGATAACAGAGGAGGCACCAATGGACATCGAGGTCCCGGCAGGAGAGCTCATGCAATCTCCCGACTGTCTCAATGAAGATATTGAGACTTTCCTCAATCAACCTCTACCATTTGCTCCCTAGACCTCCTTGCTCTTTCCTTCCCAATCTTTTCTCCCCCTGGGAGTGTCACTCGCTATCCTTAGAAGAAGGCGATAGTGAACACCTCAGAAAGCCCGTTTTCCCGAAAGGGACTTAGCGATGCTATAAAGGAGAGGATATAGAGGAAGAGAAAAGAATTGTATCGACTGAGATTTAGTTCACCGGTTGCACAGCTTAGTGAGGGAGAGTTGACACGGCCCGTAATAGCGCACTATTCATTTATCGTGAATTAGCACGTTATCCGGTCGTGATTATCAGCTGTCCACCGACGCACTTATTAGTGTTGACGATAACACAAGTTTGTCTTATCCGGCGGTCGGTAGATAGGACAGGTCAGGGGGTTCAGCACCGCGAGACACGTCGGCGACTATGTAAACCAGTTAATCGGTAACTGACATCCGCCGTACGTGCCGTGTGATCTTTTCACCAGCGCATTATCGATTTTTTGTATTTCGCACCTCACTGCCATCAGTTTTTATAATATTATATATAAATTACTAAATAAAATAAAGTTAATCGACTACTTAACGGTGTTACATTTTTATTTTATTAAAAACACCTTTATACTGTTTCAAGGAATTTCTAATATATGTGATTATTTGTTATTTAATTATTGTCTACTCTCATTTACTTATTGGATGTATAGTTAGCCGTCATCTCCTAGGTGACCCACTCCCGCATCATTATTAAAGTTTTATTAAACAGGCTTAAGGTAAAACGGCATTCTAGTGCGGTGCACAACTAGCCGTCCTACGGTCTAGCTGCCTCGTACGCAACAATAAGTGTTTTACTCGGGGTGTGTTGTTCGAGGGTCTATATTTTTGAATATCAATTTGCAGGCTAAGTTTGAATGCTCTTACCGGATTGATTTGGCATCACGTTATTTTAGGCATTTTTTGATTTTGTTTACTCAGTGAAATAGGATACTTTAATTGAGAACAATAAATAGTAGCATTAGATTATTGAAGGGTTCACGTGTGGTGAAAAAAGTGCGGATGCGTATGGCGTTATTGTGTCAATTATGTGCTTGACTGTGATTAATAACAGAAAATATTGATTGTGTACAATATTTGTTGTGAAAAATATTGTGTAATAAGATAGAATTTTTGTGTGTGTTGAGAAATGAAAAAGAAGAAGAAAAAATAGTGTATTTATTTCTAGAGGCTATTGCGACAGCTACAATTTACAATATTTAAAGTCATTTATAGATTCATAATTTTCAAAAAAGAAAAAAATCCTAAATATTCAACCAACCCCTTTAAAATAATAAAGAAATTAAGCGGTTTTCAAAAATTTTTAAATCGATATTTTGGAAGTTTTCAACTCTTAGATATGAAATTGAATATAATATTATAATAATGTAATACATATATTCATATTTTTTGTTTAGTATAAAGAAATATCTTAAAAAAGACTAGTGATTTGATCCTTAAAATAAATTAATGAATTTTTAATTTTTTGTGGTATTTATATAAATATTATTGTCTTGTTTTTAGATGATATAAATTAATTAATTTAAACACATTAAGTGGATTATATATAAAATACGTATATGAAAAACATAGACATAATTTAAGCAAAATATGTAGTGGATCTAATAGTAGTCTTTTGCAGAATTTGTGGGCCTAAAGTCACTGTAAACTTTTCTAAATTACGCCTTTAATAAAAAAATAATGAATAAATTGTAAATATAACTAGAGAAATAATAGATTCTCAAATTATTCATTTTAGTTATATTTTCATGATTATTAAATAGCGTAAATATTTACGTATATTTATATCTATATATTTATTTTACTATAATTTATTTTCTATTTATCTTAAAATAAACCATGTTAAAAAAGAAAAGCATGATTTCATAAAAAATTTTATAAAAGAAGAGTAAAATTATAGAGGATACCATAAAAATTTACAATTTTACTTTAAAATAATTCAAAATGGTTAAAATGTTTTTAAAATGCATCATCCTTTTATTCGTGAGTAATTTGATTAAGCTGATATTATCAAATGAGGTAAATACTGAAATTTATTATTTTTAATAATAATTTATCAAAAAAAATTATGCTTTTTATAAATTAAAAAAATATTATTATTAAAAGTTTCTAAAAAAGTTCATACTAAGACCGGTAGACTTAATTTTGATAGAATTATCAAAATATATAAGAATTTATAGTTATATGAAGATAAAAATAAACATAGTTGCGATAAGATAATTGCAAGTGTAAGAGCACGTGATCTAGGGCTTTAACAATATAATTTATGGATACACATTGGTCGAATGTTTTGTTGAGAAATTGTGTTGTGAATTATGCTATCGTTGCGCTAAATCGAATTGTTTTTGGTCTTTGTCTACATTGTCACCGCTATCTAAGCGTGTTTTAGCTATAAGGTCTATTTAAGTTTTAAATTTTTAATTATTTAAGTTTAAAGTATTATTGGCAAATTACGATCTAAGATGGGTCGTCCATTAAACTGTAAAACTGTTTTAAGGAAAACCATTATTTTGTCACTTTAATTAAAAGAAAAAATGGAAAAAAATATTGTAAATGATATTACAGAAGTGCTATTACAAATTTCAGATTTATTACGCTTTTTCAGGAATTTTACCTAATTTTAATATTTTAATTAAAATTTCCAATATTTAAAGTTATTTAGAGATTTATATTTTTCAAAAAAGAGAATAATCCTATATTAACCTACCCTTTTAAAATAATAAATTAATAAAGAAATTAAACGGTTTTCAAGAATTTTTAAATCAATATTTTGGAAGTTCTCAAAACTTTGATATAAAATTAAATTAAATATTATAATGCATATATTCATATTTTTTGTTTTGTAAAAAAAAATAACTTACAAATGACTAGTGGTTTGATTCTTAAAATAAAATAATGGATTTTTTATTTTTGTGGTGTTTATATCTATTATTGTCTTGTGTTTAGATGATATAAATGAATTAATTTAAACACATTAAGTGGATAAAATATGAGATACAATATTATTGGATCTAATAGTAGTCTGTTACAAAATTTGGGGGCCTTAGGTCACTGTAAACTTTTTTAAATTACGCCTTTGATAAAAAAAAAATAATGAATAAGTTAATAACTATACATAACAGAAATATCAAAATTATTAATTTTAGTTAAATTTTTATGATTATTAAATTGTGTAAATATTTACATATATTTATATCTTCGTAATAATTACGTAATATTTATATCTATATATTTATTTTAATATAATTTATTTTCTATTTATCTAAAAACAAATTATGTTAAAACAGTAAAACACGTTTACAAAATTATAAAAAAGGAGGGTAAAATTATAGAATATCATAAAATTTTTTAAGTTTACTTTACAATAATTCGAATTGGTTAAAATGTTTTCAAAAAGTATCATCCTTTTATGCATGAGTTATTTGATTAAGCTGATATTATCAAATGAGGTAACTACTAAAATTTATTATTTTTAATAATAATTTATCAAAAAGTATGGTTTTTATAAATTAATAAAATATTATTATTAAAAGTTTCTAAAAAAGTTCATAATAAGACCGGTAGACTTAATTTTGAATGAATTTCCAAAAAATATAAGAAATTATAGTAATATTAATATTCAAATTAACAGTTACGATAAGATAATTGCAAATGTTATAGCAAGTGATTTAGGGTTTTAACAATAGCGGTGTTGGTACACATGTGCTAAATGGGCATGAATGTGCTGTCGAGAATTTGTTGCTGGTGTAATTATTTGGGCTATCATTGTGTTACGTCGAGTTGTTGTCGGTCTTCTCTCTTTTTCTGCATTGGTATCGCCATCTTAGTATATTTTAGATATAAGCTCTTACGAGACCTTAATTTTTGTATTTGTTTTTTGTTAAAAGTAAAATATCACCTTTACGATTATCAAAAATTAAAACTAAAATTAACAATTTAAAAAATATTGTACGTTCGATTATTAAATTTTAATATCCTGCTCACCCTAACATTTGGTTCTTACGATCACGATTGTTCAAAATTAAACCATTTAATAATTATTAGCATTAATAGGTGCTATTTCAGTAAATAATAAGTTTAGTTCGTTATTATATATATATATATATATATTTAGTTTGGTGTATTTTTACCTCCTGTTTAGTTCTAATAGTGTTTCACGAGTTCGTACGTAATCGACGCATAGGCGTTATATTAAGACAAAGAAAATGGAATTTTTAGCTATAACCAAATATAAATAAAACGTACAAAATGTTATTATCATCCGCATTTGTCAATAATGGCAGAGAAGGCAAGCAGCCGAAGAGGAGTGTCGAAATGTCAGCTAACCAAATATATGACCTATTTCAAAAATTTCAACAATGATACCGATACCGAGCAATAAAAATTAATAAAGCAAAAGGTTGAAAAAAACTGGAGCGAGCTTAAAAATCTTCAATCCGAAATCGAAGATAAGTCGTCGGAACAACATGACGAAGAAAAATATAGAGACAACTTTGAAAATAATTATTTCAAAGCACTTGCTGAATGTAGTAGAATGATGGAAAAATATAGCAAGATAAATAAGCGAGTAAGTGCAACTTGTTACATTCATCCAATTATCCAATTTACCAGTACCAAGCAATAATGCGGTTTCGTTCTTGAGATTAGGAAATTATGAAGTACCTGATTTCAGTAGTGAATACAAAAATTGGTCCACATTCAGCGATTTAATTTTAGCCTTTATCGACTCACAGCCAGGATTCCCCGACATACAAAAATTCTTTCATTTAAAAAAGGCCTAAAAAGGAAATACTGCGAAAGCAATCCAGTCATTTTTTATGGCTGAAAAAAATTACAAATTAGCGTTGAAATGTATTAACGACCGTTTCAACAATGAAAAAAACATAATTCAAACTCATACAAGTCATACAAAAGTCATTTACGATATAGAAGCAATTAAAAGAAAGTCAGCTTCTGAATTACGTCGTTTATTTGATACATTAGCGGGAGAAATGACTACGCTAAAACAACTCGGATCCAACTGTTGAAGAGTTAATGCTATATTTAGATTACTAATTAAAAATACTAATTTTCAAATTTTAGAAGCGGAAGAAGGTTTTTAGAGGCTTTCAATTAAAGGTGATAGCGACAAAAAGGAAATGTCATTTGTAAAAGGCAAAAGGCGTAGGGAATTGGAGTGGCAAAAGAATTATAACACATGCAAGAAATCCATGATGAAAAACAAAACAGTTGTCAACAAAACAATTATTTTATGCCACCCCATGCCGTTGTTCGCGATGACAGTCACTACGAAAACTCGGATTATATTCAACGCATCTAGTCATTCTTGTACCGGGGTCAGCCTTAATGTCACGTTAATGGTAGGCCCAGTAATTCAAGAAGATCAAGTGTGTATTCTGGTCCGGTTGAGAACGCACAGAGACGCATTATGTGCCGACATTCAGAAAATGTATCGTCAAGTGTATGTGTTGAAAAGAATTGGCGGCCACAGGTAATCAGCGTCTGATAACAAAACGTTATATTTTATCGACGATTGGTACAATTTATGATCCAACGGGATTGATATCTCCCATAGTGGTGATAGCGAAAATCAAAATAAAATTATTGTGGAAAATGTTAATGCAATGGGACGAGCTGGTATCCAATCATATAAGTACGGAGTGGAGTGCGTTTTGTAATAGTTTGGCGCAAATAATTTGTTTAAAAATACCGCGTCGAATAATCAGATGTGATGCGTTCAAATTTATTCAAATCTACGGCTTTTCTGACGCCAGCAAAAAGGCTTTATTGCGTGCGTTTATACACGTACTACCGATGCACATAAAAATCATGCGGTCAGACTTGTAGCATCTAAATCGTGTGTGACTCTTTTAAAAATGATTACGCTTACGCGACTGGAGCTTTATGCTGCCGTGATATTAAGTAGACTTATTAAAAAAATCGTCCCGTGTCATTATTAGTGATTGCAATAAACTCAAAAATACTGGCCGTTGAACAGGCAAAACATTGCCAGATTCACGGTAAACCAATGCATCACTTGTTTTCGATCAAAGCGGTACGTATACCAGCCTATTATGGGTAATTTGCCAAGCTCACGCGTTGATGCATTCGAACGTGCATTTTTTGCGACTGGAGTAGATTATGCTGGGCCAATTATGATAAAAAGGGAATTTAGAAAAAACTCACCTATGGTAAAGATGTAAAGATGTAAATTTGGTTATTTGTTTGTTTATCTTCGAAATAGTTCATTTAGAGTTCGTCGGTGATCTAACGAAGGATTCATTTCTAAGTGTACTAAGAAGATTCTGGGCACATAGAGGACTGAGTAAATACATACATTCAGATAATACTACAAATATGTTTAGTGCTGATAGAAAATTAAAGGAATTAATAGAACTGTTTAAGTCCAAGGAACACGTAAAAGCCGTGAACCGCTGTTCTGCATATCTTGGCGTCAAATGGTGTTTTATTCTACCACGCAGTCCATATTTCGGCAGCCTATGAGAGGGTTCCGTGAAATCCGTTAAAAACTTTTAACAATATCGTTTGGGGAAGCTTCATTAAGTTACGAAGAATTATATGTTGCTAGAAAAGGAAGAGCTAAGTTCCTCGAATGTTAGTTTATTAAATATGTTGTTAATTAAAACTGTTTTAAATTATTCAAAGAAGTATTTTTATTTTTTTTTTGGAATTTTAAATGTTTTAATTATAAAATGAAAATCTCTTAATTTTGTTCTGTTGTAATATTAATTTACTTATTATTATTTTTTTCAAACGTAATTTTCATTATTTGAATTATTTAATTATTAGTTTTTTTTTTTATTTTGCCTGTATAGTAAAATGGTAAATTTAGTAAATTAGACATTTTTATAAAATATTTTAGTTTATTAATTAAAGAAATCGCAATGTCTCACAAAAGAGAGTTCAAACACCACGTACTATGACGTAAATGTAATGAGTTTTTAAAATTCTTTGATCTTCATCTCGATAATTATGTTAAGAATTTTTTATTATTTGCAGGAAGTAACATATTTAACAAGTGTTAAGATGGATAATAGAATAAAAATGAACTATTATGTAACCAAATTAAATTTTCAATTTAAATTCAATCCAGTTGATGAAGAATGGAAAAAAAACAAATGTGAAAATTTGGGATTTACGTTTACAAATCATAAGCCATTTGTGTCAGCTTTTATTCAAACGTATAAATGTCAAGATTTCTACAAACTATTATCTGACCTAATATGTGGGGATAGAAAATTTAGTATGAAACTTCGAAAAAAAATTTGTAATGTAATTTAAAATATATCATTCAAAACACAATTATTACTAATATATTAATTTTTTTTATATATGATAAAACAAGAGCATAAAAACAAATGATGATATTAAAAAACTTTTTCGTGATGAAGTATCATTTAATGATTATTTTAATCATTATATAACATTTATAAATCCAGGTATGTTTTATTGGCATTAAAAGGTAATTTCTTTATTCTAGTGAACTACTCAATTATCTGTGAAATATGAAAAATATTCAGATTTTATTTTTATCATGTTTTCAATAGTACATTATTTTTTATTTAAATGAGTTAATATTTATAACCATTTTTAGTAACTTATAAAAGTCACTAATGAAAACATCACATTTATCTAATTTATTGTAAAATAATTTAACTATGAAAAAAACAGGTCGTAACATTTTTAAGCATTTAGTTCAAAAGATGTTCATTATTTTTTACCTATATGGAAAAGTACATCAGAGAAATACTCACAGACAAAAAAAATGTATAGGTAGACCTGAAATCGTCTAAATTAATAGTTCAAAAAATAGATAATTTAAAACAAATAAAAATTAAAAAATTAATTTTAAAAATTTCCTTAAAGAAAATTATTTCTGATTATTTTATTTTTACTATGTGGGAAATCGCGAGTGAATAAATATAATATAATTATCCTCTAATTTTTTCTTTTCCTAATAATAAATTTCATTATAATAATATATTATAAACTGAAGAGCTATTATTAAAAAAATTAGTAATTATTATTTAAATAATTAATTGTAACGTACATAGACGAGGAGAATATATTATGCAGAGCATGATTCAATAATAAATATAAAGAATAAGACATGTAATTTTTGAATATAAAGGATATTTATGTATTATTAAAAATATTAATTAAAAATGTAATTAATTTTTTTGTATGGTGTAATTTAGCTTCGATGCAAAGCTGAGAAGGTATTGGTTTTACTATGATGTGTTTTTTTTGTGTCTGTTACCACTTTTTCTCAGCTCTCACCGAACGGATTTCTTTCAACGATACGTCAAAAGATCACAAATCGTATCTAGTCGAAGACATTACCCTTAAAAATTGAAAAAAATTCCCTCGTTCTCCGTAACTGGGGGAAACCTCCAAAAAAATTACGAATTTAAAAATCGCAAACTTTCGAAATTTTTTCAATTTTTTTTATTAAAATGTGCCGTAACTTTTTCAAAATGAACATACCAATATAATTTTTTTTATAGATGCTTGATGTCTTTACCTATCAATTAATATTTTTTTTTGTAAATCTGACCCTTTATCTGCCCAAAGTATGGGACTTAAAATGACAACTTTTTCACAAAAAATTAACTTTTGAAAATGTTCCAGAAGGTCTGACACTTTTATATATAATTTAAATTAAAGCTAATGTAATATACTTTAATTTGAAAAAAAAAATTTGACCTCTGGACTTGTCTTCATGGTGCAAATAACTATCAAATGCTATTTTTGTGTGAAAATTCTCGATTTTATAATTTACATTTCTTACTTTAAAGTGATATAACTTTTTAAAAAATGTATGGATCAATACAATTTTTTCATGAAAAGTAGTATTCATATACATCTTTCATTGGACATACTTTTTTTTTAAATCAGACCATTTCCAGACCATTTATGGTGGGGCTTAAAAAATAAAAAAAGTATATATAAAGTAGAACTTTTTCAACTTAACTTTTGAAAGTGTTCCGGAAGGTCTAACACTTTTATATATATCTTAAATTAATGCTAATATAATATACTTTAATTTGAAAAAAAAAATTTGACCTCTGGACTTGTCTTCATGGCGAAAATCGCTACCGAATATTTTTTAATAAACCCTTTTTCGTTCGACATTCTTTATCTTAATCGAGATATTAATAAGGAACTAGCAGATCATGTAGCTTTTGGAATAAAACACCAATTTTTTTAAAATTTAACACTATCTAAAGATTTGCATTGAAGCCTTTTTTTTTGATAGTGATTTTAATCACTGTCAGATATCATTATACTTGATCCAACTATACCACGACACCACTGTGCCGCGACTCCCCTGTGCTGGTTTTTTTATTTAAAATTAAGTAAATGTATAAATAATATTGTACAAGTAATTAATTTTTTTTATTGAGAATTCAGGAGAAATGATTGAATAAATTATCCGTACCATGACCTCAATTTGTGTTTTTAAATGTCTCATTCTTGTAAAATTACAATTAATTAGTAGAATAATCTTAAGATAATAATAAAATTTTTGATATTTTTTTAAATTATTTTAGTCTCACTAAATTATAAAGGTAAGTTTTAAAAATAATATTTCCATTCATAATTTATAACGTAAATATTTTTATATGGTATTTCATATTTAAAAATTAATTTATTCTAAACAATATGGAAACATTTGTTATATATAAGCATTTTTAGATGCTGCTGAAGAATGTCCAATTTGTTTCGAAAAACCTGATGTACTTGTTATATTGAATGAGTGTCATCACTGTTTATGTAAAAAATGTGCTGATACACTACTAATTAGAAATGAAAATAAATGTCCACTTTGTAGAAAATATTTTAGCAATTACGCAGACAAAGTTGAAGGTATTGTAATAAATAAATTTGAAAATAGTTTTTTAATATTAGATATGGCAGGCCCACATTTAGGGTGGCTAGCTCTGGTTGCAAATCATATGGATAGATTTTATAAGTGACATAAGAATATGAAGAAATGTATACAGAGTGTTCAGTAAGTCAGGAAACGGGTTTCTATTGTTCTCATTGTTACAAACAATGAGAACAATAGAAACCCGTTTCCTGATTTACTGAACACCCTGTATATTAGATTTGAAGGCCTTATTTTTCTAATAATGTAATAAAAAAATTATCGATGCATAATAAATAGAGAAAAATTGTTCTATAACAAAAGAATTTCTAAAAAAAAACCTAATAATTAATCATAGATAATATAATGTTATATGCCGTCTTCTTTCTTTATTATTACTGAAAACCTTTTGTTGGTGAACGCAATACAAGTTGCAATTTCAAATAGTATAAGTAGTATAACAGCTGGAGTAATTATCTCATTGGGTTGGGTTTTTTTTTATTTGAAATTAAGTAAATTTTTAAAGAATACAGTACAAGTAATTGAACTTTTTTTTCTTGGGAATTAAGAAAAAATTAGTTAATAAATTATTTGTTTTATAATATTAATTTGTGGTTTGAATTTTATAAATACATTTACATTATAAAAAACTAATGAATTTATCATAAGAAAATAACGAAATTTATAATAAATTGTTTATTTATTTTAGTTTCACCCTGTAATAAATGTAAGTTTTAAAAATATTTTATAATTAATAGATATAAGAAGTAGCACTTGTTAAGCATATTATAGTCATTCACTTTTATTATGTATATATATATATATATATATATATATATAATCATTTTTAGATGGAGATAATAAATGTCCACTTTGTTGTGAAAAATCTGATTTACCTGTTATTTTGAATATGTGCCACCATTCTTTGTGTTATGGATGTGCTGAATCATTACAAAACAAAAATAAAATAGATTGTCCACTTTGTGGACAATACATTTTCTATTACACAGACAGAGTCGAAGGTATTGTAATAATCTAAATAAACTTAAAATATTTTTATCTTCGATGCAAAACTGAGAAGGTATTAGATTTACAATGTGTAAAAATTACAAATTTCAAAATTGCTAATTTTCGAAATATTTTCAATTTTAGCTCCGATGCGAAGCTGAGAAGGTATTAGTTTTACTAAGATGTGTTTATTTATTTTTTTTTTTTTGTGCCTGTTACCATTTTTTCTCAGCTCTCACCGAACCGATTTCTTTCAATGATATGTCAAAAGATCACAAATTGTATCTAGTCGAAGATATTACCCTCAAAAATTGAAAAAAATTCCCTCGTTCTCCGTAAATGGGGGAAACCTCCAAAAAAATTACGAATTTAAAAATCGCTAATTTTCGAAATTTTTTCAATTTTTTTACTTAAAGGTGCCATAACTTTTTCAAAAATGAACAAATTAATATTATTCTTTTTTATATAGATGCATAATATCATTACCTTTCATTTGGTATATTTTTTTGATAAATTTAACCCTTAACCTTAACCATAATGGAGGATTTAAAATGACAACTTTTTCACAAAAAATTGACTTTTTCAACTTAACTTTTGAAAGTGTTCCGGAAGGTCTGACACTTCTATATATATTATAGCTAAAGCTAATATAATATACTTTAATTTAAAAAAAAAAATTTTGACGTTTGGACTTATTTTTAACTTTATAATGCTATAACTATTTGAAAGATGTATGGATCAATATAATTTTTTTTTATAGATGCATGATGTCTTTATCTATCATTTGGTATATATTTTTTATAAATCTGAACCTGCCCATAGGGAAGATTTAAAAAGAATATTTTCTACAAAAAATTAACTCTTTCAACTTAACTATTGAAAGTGTTCCAAAAAGTCTGACACTTTTATACATATCTTAAATTAAAGCTAATATAATATACTTTATTATGGAAAAATAATTTTCGGACTTTATTTTATCTTCACGGTGAAAATGGCTACCAAATGCTATTTTTGTGTGAAAATTCTCAATTTTTTTTTACATTTTTAACTTTATGATGCTATAACTTATTAAAACGTGTATGGATCAAAACAATTTTTTTATGAGAAATAATAAATAATATCCCTCTTTCATTCGACATACTTTTTTTTAAATAACACCATTTCCCTTTATATATTATAAATATTTATATATATTTATTTATTCATATATTTTATTTATAAATCATAAAACTTGTAATCAGGATGAAAATGATATTTGCATCGAAGTATTTTATATGATAGTGATTTTAATCACTGTTGGTTATCATTAAATTTGACCCATCTATTCGACCCCACTGAACTGGGTTATTTCAACCAAAACTCAAAATATGATTTATAATAGAATTTGTAATTCTGAACATTTTATAGCAAATATATTTGACATTATCTAATTGAATTTTTGGAATAATAATTTAATTTGATTTTTAATTTGTTATTATTAGACTATATTGTATCTAGTATAAAAATATCAACGCCAATACTACAATTCTATCAGTTCTTTAATCCTTTCTACCAAGATTTAAGGTATGAACTTAGTAAATAGTTCATTAGTACAATTTTAAAACATCAGTTTTGTCGTTTACAATTAAATTACACTATGCTTAAGTCTGGTAGAACCTCAGCTAGTGGTGAATTCAACTTTGTTGGGCAAAACTTACGGGCAGAATCCAGTGAAAGTTATAACATACTCAATTTTCTTTATATTATTATTAATGTAATAAAAGAACTTTGAATAAAATAAATGTTCTAAAATGTATCTGATAAATATATAAAACTTTAATATATTATATAATTTACCTTTTACCAAATTTAAGAAACTATATTGTTGCTTTGACATTTTATTATACAAAAAAAAAATGTAAAGAAAATTACAGAAGTACTAAGTGCTTATATAAATTTTAGGTAATGTAATTAGTTCGTGTAGTCTGGTGGAATATTTTGCCGCAGCATATTATCTGGATATATGCATTTTTTTATATATTAAAGAAAATGAATGGATGTTTTTTGACAAGAATGGGCTCAATTACTCTGAAGAAGATATGGACGGCAAAAAGTGTATTTATCTCTTTCTAAATAAGTATAATAAAACTATTGGAGTTGTCGTTGAAACAGAAGAACTATCTAATTTTAGAGATAATTTATATTAAAAATGGTTTAAAGAAGATAAATGTTATACATAATAATATTGAAAAAAAAATTATAGCTTATTAAGTAGCATTTATTATTTTAGAATAATAACTTTCAACTAGCCTCTCACTATAATCTCTTAATAAAAATACAGTTATTTGAAAAAAAAAAATTATAATTTATTAAGTAACATTTATTCTTTTAATAATAATTACTGTCAACTAGCCTTTCAATTTAATCTCTAATAAAAGGACTTTCAAAAAATATTATTCCTGGTAATACTACGACATGATTTAAGCGCAAACGGTTTAGAGATCTAACTTAATGAAAAATTATAATGTAGATTTAAATGTTGTTACTGAAGACGCATTACATTAACAGATAAACCAACTTAGTTTCTAATTAAATATTTATGAAAACGTTAAACACTTATTATTCACTTACTAAATTTATGTGAATTTTTTTTAATTTTAATTTTCCTGAAGTTAATGTAATTTTCAAATATAACACAATATTGTTCAAAAACAAGTAAATATAATTAAAAGTTAAATTATGTTAAACTAGACAAATACAATAGGTAATAAGCTAACAAGTTAGTAGTGAATTCAGCAAGCAACATACATCAATATATATTTATGAGTGATTTAATTACAGGCATAATATTATAACTCAATGCTTAGTTTAAAATAGCTTAAGTAATTATAGTTATAAATAGCAATTTGTTCTATTTACAACTAAAATTCGAATATACTTATTTCTATAAATAAATAGTTAAATAAAAAACAAATAGTTAATACCTAATAAAGTCTAAAATTGCAAAATATTTCTTAAAGTTATGAGTCTGAGGACCAGTAAGAACAATTTATTAAGAAACTTTGTGATGTGAGGAACAAGAGTTCATATGTACAACTAATATACAATTTTGTGAATTTTGTTTAATATGATTTTGAATTAAGAAACCAGTTAGTTTCTGAAATGACTAGATAATTTAAAGTTTTTTAGTGATTACAAATATGAGCATAAGCAAGGAATATGGAAATGTTGTGTACGCATTACGAGAGGACGTTTTACTACATCGTATTTCTATGACTGATAACGTCTCGCCCTACCACCACCGGTTGTATGAGCGATTCATTACGTTGGATGATTACGTACGCGATCGTTGTACGACATCGAGTTACTGTTGGTCTTCTTTTTTGTGGTTTTACGTCTTTCGCCTCCATCCTAACTCGTTTTGTTTATGCTTTTACGGTGCTTTAGACCACGTAATTGTTAAAGACATTATATATCGCCCTTGCGATACGCGCATTGAGAATTAAATTAGTACACCTTGAAGTACTATTCACGCCAAAGTACGTTCTGCCCCGTACAATTGTCATACCAACAACTTCATTCGCATTTTATTCACATCAAACCAGTCATCATCATTAGTATCGTATAAATAGTTAGTAATCATATTGTTCTATCTAATTTTTATTTTTATTAATTGTTTTATTTTACACATTGTTGCATTAGTATTAAGTGACCCCCCAATCCACAATTCTATGATAGTTTATATATATATTATTACTTTAATATAACTCCTTATCTTGTAATTCTTATTATTTTATTTAGTGTAAGTACCATCCTTTTATATAAAGTCCACTCCCTATTTCTTTCTCCGGCATAATTAGATAACCCAACTGGACGTTAACTAACCCGCATATTATAACCGGGTGTTCCATTCAAACAGAAAAAATTGAATATTAGCGACTAATCAACAATAATATATAATTTAATATTTATAGCTATTTTGGCATGCTATTTTGTAAAATAATTATTAGATTCAATTGGATAAACATAAAGTTGTATAAGAGCTCTAGTAATTGATTTCAATAATAATAGTAAGATACTTTCACTTTGAAACAAACGATTAAACAATATTTTTTCAATATGACAATAAAAAAGTTTGGAATAATTAACTTAAATTATCAATAGACTAATATTACATAAGAAATTTTAAATAGCAACGAGGATACTAAAACTTGATTTAAGATTTTAGGTTTGGAAATTTATTGTAAGCAAATTTTCGGAACAAATCTACTTTACGGGATACCCTTTTTTTTTCAAAATTTTTTTTTTCAAAACGTTCGTTTTTTGATGCTTTTTTCAAAAGTGTTTGAAAAAATTGTCGGAAACTTTTGGTTCAAAAGTTATAGCATTTTAAAGTTTATACGTTATACGACTAAAAATAGCTCCAAAATTGTTTTTTTTTGTTAATTTTCGGGTTTTTTTTTTTATGAGTGATTACGTAATTATATGAAACCCAATTAATTTAAGTTGAGCAAAAAAAAAAAAANGGCTCCGGTGACCGATTCGAGCCCCTTCGGGACTCTCATGGGATGGGGGCTCACGCCCCCAAACCCCCAGAGGATAGAAGTCAAGCCCAAACCCAACCTATTTAAACCCATTCGACTGAAATTCTCAGTGACCCAACAAGTATAAAACCTTGATGTTAAAATGGTGATATAATATTGAAAAAATAGATAAAAAAAAATTAAATTTATTTACTTCAACACTACCTTAACACGTTTAATGTACTCATAAATACTCTTAAATTTACTATTCCTCGGTAACTACATCATCGAGAATACTTTTTATGGTTAATTAATGAGAATTATCAAAAAAAAACAGCAGTATATAACAAAATTTGTATATGATTATTGAAATCTTTGAAAGCTCATAACTTTTAAACTAGACTTCGCCGACAAAAAATTTTTATATATTCTTAGTCGGTATGAAAAACTAAATTGATTTAAAAAAAAAATTTTGAAAAATCTCGATGGGGTATAAAATGCATTTAAGCCTGGTGTTGTTTAATGTTGATAGAGGTTGTTATTAAAGAACTTAGACGACACAAGGTTTCTAAAATGGCGTGAGCCGTAGTTTATTGTTTAGGTTACAACACAAGAAGAAAACCAAAAGACTACTAATTATTGAAAATGATAACTAGGTAGTAAGGTTCACAGTAGTAAGCTGATTTGAAAGTAAACACTAAAAAATATGAGTATTCGTAGCGAAAGTATTGAGAGCACCCAAACAAACGAGGACCGAGAGAAAAGAATCGCACATCAAGGTGTCACGGAGATAACTAACTGGACGTATTATTGCGGCGGGGTATGCGACGCTAGGCATTTGTTGGACTTTACACCACGGCGATAACGCGTGTGTGTGACGGTCCGGTTTACAGTTAAGCGGTGGCTGAGAAGGAGCTGACACGACCGCGGGGTGTCAACGTGTGACAACGCCGTGGCCGTGTCAATGTGTATTTGTAGTTAGTTCAATAAAATAAAAGTTTTTACTTTATATTAGGTATACTAAATAACACTTATTAGAAATAATAAAAAAATTTAATTACAATTGATATTGACATTTTAGTATTCAACTTGATACCATCTAAAATATTTGCATTTTGTTGGTTTGAGCGCGACTTTGCACAAGAGTAATACGGTCTATCCTTATTACTCCCTGAACTAGTTGTACATAACTTGAAATATCTAAGTGTATACCTATACCTACCTATACACACACTAATTTTGGTGTCACATCAATGTTGTATTAATTTATAGCTTCATAAAAAAGATTAGATCACACATCGATATCATTTATTTTTCAATGTTACAGAAAGTACAAAATAAGTTTATTTTAAAACACCATAAGTGAAATTTATTTTATATTGCACCGTACACTTTTCTGTTATATATTTACAATTTTTTGCTTACAAATTAATTCTAATTATTTATCTTTCGTAATTATTTTACAAACATCTAATATGTCCGGACAGAAATTAGTAAATTTATTTGATTTAATTAGTTGGAGTAATGACGAAAATAGTCTTACTTTAATTAACAAATTAATTGATTTTGGCGTTTTGAAAAACAATCGTAAATGTCCAAGTGGACATGATATGGTTTTAATAAGAGACAACAGCGTAATCGATAATTTTAAATGGAGGTGCCGAACAAAAATTTCAAAAAATAATAAAAAACAGACAACTTGCAACTATAGGTAAATGATAGTATTGAAATTAAATAAATTTACCTAACTCTTAATTATATCTTTAGCATATCGATTAGAAACCGAACATTTTTCCATCGTGCACACTTAACTTTACTCGATATTTGTTGTTTTGTAAATTTGTGGACAATGAACTGTCCTTCGACA